ACTTGATTCGACTGAACATTTGCATTTTCTGTGGTGACAGCTGTCATGTCTTTGCTCTTGCAGGTTTGTCTGACAAGCTGGATTTCCTAGACGAAGAGCAGACGTCATCTCAGGGGACTAAAAAGGGCAATGCAAATCAACGGACAAAGAAAGGGTGAGACCAGAAAAGAACGAAATTCAAATGCAGAATCTCTGGTTTTTTTTTTTTAGTCTTTTGGGGGATCATTTTGTGGAAGGAGAAAGCTGTTCTGATTAACATTCATTGAAACAAGTCCAGGGTGGTTTTCTGGACTGTACAGAGGAGGAAAACTGTGGCCAGAATGGAACAGAGACTGAGATGTGCTTATTTTTGCCTTTTCAGTAAGACGGGAAAGATTTATGGTGGCTGATGGAAGTCCATCAGCAGATACATGTGTCTTCTTGGGTATTCCTGAGGAAAGGAATATAGGCAATGATGCTGTTTGGTTGTTTTTCAGACCAAATGCCAAAAGACGATACAAGAATCAGAAGTTTGGTTTTGGTGGGAAGAAGAAAGGCTCAAAGTGGAACACAAAGGAGAGTTTTAATGATGTATCCAGCTTCAGTTCAAAAGTGGCTCACAACAAGGGCCCAGGAAAAGGAGGAAAAAGAGGAAAAAAAGCCCTTAATGTAAGCAAAATGTTGCATGCAAATGATCCTAGTTGGCTTTGAAATCAGTCCTGGTCTGGGAGGGAGAGCTGAGCATGTGAAGGGTGCCTTCAGCAACAGGAAGTGATACTGCCTGTCTTTCAGAGCTGAGCTTGATTTAGTTGCAGACAGAGTTGAGGATGATGGTTTTGTATCTCCGCAGGGAAGTGAATGGGGGGAATTAGCAAGTAATGTTTGTTGCTATCTGTGTCTCCAAATGTCCCTCTCCAGAGTTATTGACAAGTATGCTCCGTAAGCTATAGAGCTAGAATGGATATTGAGGACACAAAAAGAAATCTTGTCCTTTTTTTTGCAGAAGAGACCTGGAAAGAGAGCAAGGCAGAAAATGAAGAGCCGGGCGCGCTAAGAGGACTCTACTCCCCAGTGGGGTTTCTATGTTTCAGTGTGTTGCAAGATGTGTTTCTGCTCTCATCAAGCAGCTAACCATGGAGCAGGCTCAGTGCTTCCAAGTGGCAAGAGGAAAAGTGGAAACTAGTGCCTTATCACTGATTTCTTCTTACTGTCTGTTTTGTGGAAGGATTGTTTTCTACTTAAATCTATGGTGTGTGAACACATTAAATGGTTTGCACAGAGCTAAGTCTAACTCATGTTTAGCTGTGTTACGAGTAGTTGCTGGTCCCTGCCCTTTTTGTTCTGATAACTTTTTCCACAGCTACTGCTGGCATGTACTTGGTAAACTTGAATCCTGGGTCATGTTGCTGGTCAGAATAAAAAGTCTGAAGACTGTCAAGATGCTGAAGTGGTTTTTAAGACTATATAGATGGGTTTGGAAACAGCAGCAAGGCAAATGCAGCAGTCTTACAAACAGGTTTATTTCTGTAACTGTTGTCAGGCTGCAATTCTGGACAGACTGAGGTTCCCTCTTCCCTTTTCTCACATTTTCTCTTGCCAGAAACGTACCAGACTCACCTAATGACAAGCAGGGTCTAATATATTAGATGTCAGTAACTGCTTCTAAGTTGTGTGGCATTGCCGCTCTACTACTTCAGGTTCTTAGACTACTCCTCCCCATGGCTCATGGCAGCCATTTATTTAGTGATCTCAGTTTTCCGGCGTGGGAAGTAGAATCTGCAATCAGTACGGTCCATAGGGACCTGGGAAGGAAAAATGATGAATAGTCATGTGTTTTTACTAGAAGTAGTAGTAGTAGTAGTCCCTCCTGAGAAGAGTGATACATGGTGTTCTTGCTGCTAAGAAATGCCCAAGTGACAAACAAGTAGGATGCTGCTTATTTGAGACTATACTGTTCACTGCTTCGTTATCATAGAGCCTGGGGAAAAAGGAAAACTCCATGAAACAGCATCGTGAGTCCTGACTCTCTCAATTTAACTTACTTCTCTACATACAAATTTAGTTGCCAACATGAATTTCCTGCCAATCTAATCCTACCAGCAGTATCTGGAAGTGTAAATCCCTGCTGGGGATGTCCGTCTAGCCTTGTCATGAGTAAGTAGTTTACCTGAAGTACAGTATAAAAAGTTGCAGAAGACTTATTTTCTCATCCTGGTTTTCCTCTTAACAAGCCAAAATTAATCAGGCCTTCATTTGCCTTTCTCGAAACACAAATCTACAAAGTCAGTTATTGTCATAGCTATTCATTTGTCAGATGTGATTGATGTCTCAGCTTGTTAATAAGATTTCTTTTCCTCCTGTTTATTCACACTTCCTCAAATGAATCCTCACTGGTGTATTCTGCCTCAGGTATACTTAGCTGATTATTAATTTTACGGTTCTGCTTGCAATTTGGTTGTACAGCAGCACATTTCATAGTACTTTTGTGTGTCACTTCACATTGCTGGCTATGCCATTTCTTGTGGCAGGCGGCTTTAATAAACACCCATGACCACATGTATGTGGCATTTGGCAATGTGCTTGGGGTCAGCTATGACTGTAGGTATTTTGCATGCAAGTTTCTATGGGGGTGTCTACTGTTTCTGTGTTTATGAGCCTATGCCATTGTGAAGACTCAGCTTAGGTGTAAATTCTAAAAGAGTGTTGTCCATAAATAGCCCTGCTCATGATACTCATTCCTGTTTCCCATGTTTGTCACAGATTACTTTCTTATGTGAATATATTCCACTGTGATGGGCTGAGCCTCTCTGAATCCTGCAAAGATCTGAGTCCTTAAGGACCTTACCAAAGGTTTTGTGTTCCAGCCAATTTCTTGACTTTCAGTTTGTGGCTCTGAATATTTCTTTGTTGGTTCCAGTGCTGCATGGTGAATAAGATTCAGAAACTCTTCTGTTGGTTTAAGAGACACAAATACAAATGAAAGAAAGTATGTTTAAAAAACAGTTACCCATTGGGTGCATTAGGACCTCTGTGATTCTGCAAATGGTGTTGCGATGGTGACATTTCTGCTCAAATTTATCTTGATGAAGCTTCTAGATTTGTCTGCCTATACTGTCCTGTTAATTCTATCATCCCTGTGTGCTGTATTGTAGCATGTTAATTTTCTTACACCACATTTAGTATCAACCAGCGCTTCATGTTAGTTCTCATCTTTCTTGGTTGCCTGAGACCTGCTGCTTTTTCCTGTTTTGGTTTTCTCCTCTTCCCCCCCAGCCCTTGACTAGAGCAGACCAATTTTAACTGGCTATTAAGGTTTTTCGACAAAATTGGCATATTGGAAATAAGGGAGCACTTGCTATAAGGGCTCCTGTTACTAGTGCTCTAAAGTGAGACTTGCCAGCCACTTAAGCTGTTGCTGGTTAGGTAGAATCTGCAACAACAGGCAACATGTATGTATAAAATGTGTTTCTAGATTTTTGTTGTGTTTTTTTTTTCTGAAAGAGGTTTAGATTCTCAAGCAGAATTTTATAGTATAACTGAAACAAAAACATAATTACATGAATGCAAGCTTGTACTCATACTGAAAAGTAATAGGAAAGGGCCTTAAACTGGAAAAAACCTGCCTTACATTTAATGAAAATATAACTGAGTTTTACTTTCTTACACTGACACGGTGTTTCCACACGTCATTTTTTAGAGTAGTTGGAATTTTAAAATCCTATTTATTAGTAATTATCACAAGCTGTTAAGAGATTTCTTACCATCTGCTGGCTCTTCTATATTATCATGCCATGACATAGGCTTCCTGGTGATTGTGTGTACTGGAAAGAAATGGTACAGATGAATTACTTTAATGTGAACGTAGCATCACAGCCAAATAAGGTGGTCTGTCACTGCAGATGTTCTTTTTGGTTATTCTTCAGTCTGGGCCCAGCTACTTCAGTGAAGTTGTAAAGGAAGGATAGCATGCAACAAGAACAAAGTGAGTCAGAGACTTAAAGTCTAAAAAGGGAAGGGGGGTAAGGGCACTACTGTTTTGTGCTGCGTGCATTCACCACAGCAAACTTCCACTCTGTCCAAGAGGTGGCCCGCAGAGTGCCGAGTTTCAGGCTGTTACTTTCATTTCTTTTGGTTTTGGTTTATTGTAAAAACTGTACCTGGGTGAATCTTTCACATCACCAATCTGCCAGCACAGATTATGATATTATATAACTGAATTGACAGATAGAAATCAGCCCGGGACCTGAACAATATGTTACAGTGCTGAAGCTACCTATGCTATCTTAGCTCTGTAGTGTTTGCTCAGGATCTGTGGGTTCTGGATCCCAGAGAGTTGCCTCACTAACCCTAACCCTAATGCACTGTCTAATCTGGGCAGATTTGTCATGCTGCCGGTCTGCCTTTGAGGGTGCAGATTGTTCACTTAGGCAAAAGAAAAGCCCACGGTGTTTGCTCCTTCTAGCTCTGCCCCTCCCACTGGCCTGTGCTGGCTTTCTCGGGTGAAGCTGCTTGTCTGTGACATGCAGTCTGTTGCTCCACGGCCTGCCCTGGCCTCACGCTGGCCGGCCGGTTCGCAAGCCTTCCTTCAGCCCCGCTCGGTGTTGTGCTCATCTTGCCTTCGGGTCCTCACACCAGTTCTCTGTGACCCTGGGACCGCCCATGCGCCGCCTCACCTGGTTGGAGCGGATTCACGCTGTACTCTGTGTGCAGCCTCTGGCACTTCAGCTCCTTCCGCACCCGTTCGCACAGGAGCTGGTTCAGCCGCACTGGGTCCAGCGGCATGTTCGCGCTGCGGGAGGCCATGGTCCCCTCGGGCTGCGCAGCGTCCCGCAGCCTGGCAACGTCTCACGTGGTCCCCGATGAGGCTGCTGATTGGGCTGAATGGTGCTCCGCCTCTTTTCTCTGACCGGTTCCCTTCCCGTTTCCCATTGGCCTCCGAGTTAAAGTCCCTGGCGCTGATTGGCGGCGGCGGCAGCTCGCGGCGAGTTTGAACGGCCGATGCCGAGGGCGATAGTGGCAGCATGGAGGACGCGGAGTTGCGCTGTACTGTGGCTGTGGAGCAGCCGCTGCCAGGGGGACAGGCCCCGAGGCGCCGCGTGATGAGGGGCGCGCTGGTGCTGCTGGGCCGCAACGAGCTGCGGCAGCCGGTGCTGCGGGTGGTCGCTGGCAGCGGCGGGGCGGCGACGGCCCTGAGCTTCGTGCTGGCCGGTGAAGGCGTGCGGCTCTTCAAGCGGTTCGCTGGTGAGGGTCGGGCGGCGGTGCGGGTAGGGCCGGGCGGCGCCCAGGTCCTTCTCTCCGACTGCCCCCCAGACACTCTGCGTCGCTTCCTCCGTCTCCTGCGGGTCAAGGTGGCAGCCTGGCAGCAGAGCACTCCGCGTGTCCCCCGCCTGCTGGACCGGCCGCCGTCGGCCTTCGCCGTCATCAGCCCGCTGCAGGAGCGGGACCTGCTGCGCGCCCCAGGCCGCCTTCGCGGGGGCGAAGATCAGGGGGAGCCCCCGGTGGAGGTGAGTCTTGGGGCGAGGGGGTTGGCCCCGCTTACCGGTTCCGGTTACTGGCCCTGCCCTCACGGTGTGCTGCCGCCTGTCCTGCAGGTTCCCCGAGCGGAAAGGCGGCCCTCAGCGAGGCTCTCGGCGGAGCAGGAGGCTGTGATGGGAGTTGTGAGGAGTGGGAAAAGCATCTTCTTCACTGGCTGTGCAGGTGAGGGGGCTGGACGGCTGTCACCGGTTGAAGCCCTCTGGCATCACCACTGACCTACTGTTCCTCTCTCCTCCAAGGAACCGGGAAGTCGTTCTTGCTGAAGAAGATTGTGGGCTCCCTCCCTCCGAAGACCACCTATGCTACAGCCAGCACAGGAGTGGCAGCTTGCCACATTGGTGGCACCACTCTCCATGCCTTTGCAGGTGATGCTCTGCCTGACAGTGGGTCTGAGAGCTCTTGTTCCCTTCCTAAAGAATCGGGAGTTTCCCAAAGCTTTGCTTTCTTCTCTCCTGCCAGGGATCGGCTCTGGGAAGGCTCCGCTGGAGCAGTGTATTCAGCTGGCAGAGAGGCCTGGGGTGCGCCAGCACTGGCTGTCCTGCCAGCACTTGATTATTGATGAGATCTCAATGGTGGATGGCAAGTTCTTTGACAGGCTGGAGGCAGTAGCAAGGTGAGCAATTGTCAGGTCGAACAACTAACAGAAACGAATTTTACTAAATATCCCAGCTGCTTATGTGAATTGGTGTAAGATAACCACTGGCATAGGGCTGAAAGGAAGCATGAAATCATAGCCAGCATCTAGGCAGATCTTTAGATAGGTTTTGCTCACGTCCGCATTCCCTGGGTTTCCATCTTTGGAGCCAAGTGTTATCTGTAGAGCCAAGTCCAGAATCCAGCTGTCTGTGCTGTGCCCAGCAGTTCTGTCTTGCAGAGAGGCAGCTGTAGTATAACAGCTACTAAAGAACCAAGTCTGGTAATGATGTCTGGGTGGGTAAGCAGAGCACGTTTAAAGTCTTGTGGCAGCATTGCTTAATTATTTGAGGTTTACTGCTACAGCAGAGGAGAATAGGATCATCTTTTACTGCAAGTGGTATATATTTGAACATATGAGCAAAGAAGTAACTTCTGAGACATGACTATGCCCAGGAGGGCATTCAGAACTTCCTTCTTCCTTCCTTTTCAGGGCAGTCAGAAAACGGGATGAGCCTTTTGGAGGAATTCAGCTAATCATCTGTGGGGACTTCTTGCAGCTACCCCCAGTCTGCAAGGCTAATGAAGAAACCACATTCTGCTTCCAGGTACAAAATTGTCCCTAAACTCCTTCTCATACTTCAAGTTTGCTTCTTTTATAACAAGAGAATAATTTGCCAGGCAAAAAGCTGGAGGAAATGCATCCACGTAAACATGGAGTTGACTGAAGTGCGGAGACAGACTGACAAGACCTTTGTCTCGCTCCTGAGTGCAATCCGTTTAGGCAGGTGAGGAGAAATTAGTCTCTCTTTGTAATCCCTGCTTCCTACTGATGGAGCAGAGGAAAGTGGGTTGGTGACTTTTCAGTGCTCTGTCAGGAATGCATGGCTGGGGACAATAGCTATTAATCCTTTCGTTAATGTAAGGAGGCTTCATATATGCTGCTCTGGTAAGGAAGGACCCTTTCTAGGGTTCCTTTTTGCAATTTTTGCTAGGAGTTCAGTGGATCCCCACCTGGATGCTTACAGGGCAGAGCTGGTTCACACAGTGGCACAGCTCTCCATCTTTGTGTGTTTATCTCTCCCTATCCTCCTCTCTAGAGGCCTGGGGCTTGCACAGCCTGATCCAGCTGTTGTAGGTTACTGCTGCTCATGACCTGTTCCCGATCACTGTAAGTAATAATCCTTTTTTCCTGGTTACCAGGTGCACAGAGGAGGTTACGAGACAACTGATGCAGACTGCTGATAACAGGTCTGAGCGTGATGGGATCCTGGCCACGCGGCTCTGCACTCATAAAGATGACGTAGAAATAACTAATGAGAAGCGCTTGCAACAGCTGTCAGGTGAACTCCTTGGAGGAAACTGCTGGCTTTGGGGCTGAGCTCTGGGTGGGTGAAATGGGGATACTGTGGTGCCAGGAGGAACCTGGTGTTGTGTCATGAGCAGCAGTATCAGCCAAAGCTGTGTGTGTTGGAGTTGAGTTGTCTGGGGAAAACTTCACAGCTTTTTGCTTAAAAATACACATTGTTACTTCTTGGTATGTAATAAATTGCTCATTGCTTGCTGTGAGGTAGACTGGGTCATTTATTGCTCCCATACTATTGGTTTTTCTTTCTGTAGCATCTTAGAAAGGCCATGCTCTACCCAGCCAGAGCCTGAATTAAAGGCTATTTAATTTCTGCTCCTTGTCTGGCCCTAGGATTCCTAGTCCTCTGTGGAGATCTGCTGTTGGCTGCAAGTGAAACTGGTCACTTTCTCAAAATGGTGATTGCTCAGTTCTTATTTACTGCTGGCTTTTGATCCACAAGCCTTTTCATGCTCTGGGAATTATAGTGGGAAGAGAGGCATAGTGGACTTTCTGCTGTTAGGTGCGACAAGGTTTGTGTGAAAATATCCTACCAGCAGAACACAATGGATGTTAAAAGAGGAACAGCTATTAGAAATAAATGCTGAGCACCTTGTGATGCTGGGTAGAGTGTGTTAAGCGGTTGCAATTTGTTGTGTCCTTCCTTAATAGGAGAAGTGCACGCTTTTGAGGCTTTGGACAGTGACCCGATGCTGGTGAAGTTAATTGATGCTCAATGTCCTGTGGGTGGTAGAGTTGAGCTAAAGCTTGGAGCTCAGGTAGGTGTGTGTGCACATGTTTGTGAAAGACCAGCAGATTAAACAGCCTAGGAAAAATAAAGGAATAGCAGATAAATGTATAGAGTAGACTGTACAGAATCTGCATTGTGTTCATTAGAATGGCTATGCCAGGGTGACAGATGACTCTATCGCAATATTTGTGTTCTTTCTGCTGTGAATCTTATTAATAGAATTAGTTTGATTTGAGTTGAGGTCTATGTCTCGTAGACAGTGGTGACTGCTATGACTTTGATGCACATTTCCAATTAAGTTTAGGTTTCAGGAAGCAGAGGACAGTCAGTCCTTACCTGCAGTCTCGCCTTCAGGTACAGCAGCACTCCTGACCTGAAAGGTTAGAGCACAGCTTGCTAAATTTTGCAGGACTGGGCACCTTGCTGCAAGCTAGGGCTGTTGGAATGGAAAGGATTGTGCCTAGCAGCAGCACTGTTGGCCTCAGGAATTTATTCCTTTGGTGTTTCCAAAATCTATGTCTAGGCTGGTTGGTGTTGAGGGAAGGGCAATCTGTTCCATGGACCTCAGCTCACAGGTGTGGGCAGAAGCAGCTCAAGTGAGGTGTTCAGTGTTGCAGGATGTAGTTGGGAATCCTGGGAAGAAAGGCTGTGAAATAATTTCAGTCAAATTGGAGATAGTGCCCTAGCCTGCAATAGGATGATGTGGCTGTGGCCCTATCAGCCTGCTGTGCTTATGCCTCCTGGCTAGAATTTAGCTGCAGGTGGCTGAATAGGCTATAAAGCCAGTGCACTAAGGGATTTTTCTTTTTCTCTGTAGGTGATGCTAGCTAAGAATCTGGATGTGTCTCAAGGGCTGGTGAATGGGGCACGAGGAGTGGTTGTAGGATTTGAAAGTGAACAGAAAGGTAAGTAAGCTGTTTGAGCTTTTGTTGAAGGAAAAGGGGAGGAAACCCAAAATAACTTATCATTGACAGCTGATGACTTGTTAATTTTGTTTACTGCTTGGTAAGAATAATTTCGGAGAAAGCAGGGAGGAAGTCTTTCTGCAGTGAGAGGCTTCGGGCTCTTATGAGCTGTGATGTCATGTGCTGTACCATTTGTAGCTATCTGTAGAGCCTCTTGTGTTTGCTTTCCTTTATTCTCTAGTTGTGTATGCTCATTTATGTTTCCTGTCTGTTCTGTTGAAGCAAGTCTTAGTGTATTGTTTTTTTTTTTTCTTGTTTGTTTTTACTTGGAGAGTGATGCTCTACTACTTGCAGTGTGTATTTTTCTTTGCATCTCAACTGACAAATTACCTGACTCCTGAATTTAATTCTGCTGCTTAAGTGGGTCCCAAACATAACTTCAGGACATCCTATTTACTGTGTGTAGGTTTAGCTTTTTTTGGTTGGATGTGGGTTTTTTTTGTTTGTTTTGTTTGTTTCTGGTGTGGGATTTTTTTTTTTATTATCTATTTAGTTGGGGTTTTTTTTGTGTTCGTTTTTTTTTTTTTTTTTTTGTTTAATGTACTCTAAAATTCGTGAAAGACTGACATGGGGAAGGAGGAAAAACTTAAGTGGTTTTAGGCTGCTGGCTTCCTGGCAGTTGCAGGGCAGAAATACATCCCTGTTTCTTTCCTGCTCCGCTCCTACAGGGCTGCCTAAGGTGAGGTTTCTCTGTGGGATCACACAGGTCATAAAAATGGAGAAATGGGTCTTCAAAGGACCATCAGGGGTTCATCTGACTCGTCAACAGTTGCCTTTAAAATTGGCATGGGCCATTTCCATTCACAAGAGTCAGGTGAGTGTTTTTATCAGCTGTGGATAGACTTTTACACCATCATAAGCCTTATTTTATGCGTGAGCTTCCATTTCTGGTAAAACAAGAAGGGAAACTGACAGTCTCGTTGTGGGGGACCTCTAGAATATGTGTGTCTAGATGCAGAGAAGGCAGCACCTCTTCTGCTTGTGATACTTGTCTATAGGGTCAAGGATGGGCTAGCAATACTGTTAAAGTTTCCATTAAGGTGCTGCCATCTGCATAGTTGGTGTTAGACTCTAAAGCAGCGGTGTTTACCACTGTGGGCTTATCAGAGGTATTGTTTCCCCGATAGTCATTAGCATGAGTGACCCTGAAGTTTGCAGTATACCTGAGCAAGCTTCAGGAGTCACACCTGTGCATCCTTGGTGGTGTGCATTGTTGTTTTTTCAGTGTTAACTAATACAGTTCCTACATTTTCAGAAGGCTTCATACACTTGGAGATCTGTGAGTTTGTTCACATGCTGCTGTTTAAACCAGGCCATGCTGTAAATTCTGCTCCCTCCTGGGGTGTCTCTGGGTGCAAACAGGGCTGGCCAGACCTAACCCAAACTCTGTCTTGGATGCCTGAGGATTGCTTGGGAGTGGTGGCTGCTCCAGCTAACTACTAGGAGTGAAAATAGCAGGATTCATTATATGGGATTTGTGGAGTCAGTTAGGTGACCCTACTGTCTGCTAGCAATTACGTGACAGAGGAAAACCATCATTTTCTTTGCACTAATTCCCATCTTTTAATCAGTGACCTAGTCACACAAGATACTTCCTTTTTTTTTTTTTTTTTTTTTTAATCAAACCTGTACACCAAGGGTGGTACCTTTGACAGACTCGCAGGGCAGGTTAGTGTTGATACAACACAGTGTCCTCTGTTTCTTCTGTAACAATGTTCTCTGTATTCTTCTTTGATAGGGCATGTCTTTGGATTGTGTGGAAATCTCCTTGTCTCGTGTCTTTGAAAGTGGGCAGGCTTATGTAGCTCTCTCCCGAGCACGTAGCCTTGAAGGTCTCCGTGTTCTGGATTTTGACCCAAAAGTAGTGAGAGCCGATCCTTCTGTGTTGCAGTTCTATAGACAGCTGAGACGTCATCAACTCCTAACCCAGGTAAAGAAAAATATCTCATCCTAGCAAAGCCTGCCTAGTGCAGCTAGGAGGAGAGATGTTTGCGCAGAGATGCTTCTTTTTCTTTTCCCAAAGGAAGATCATTGAAATTAAAGCTTGTAGTAGAAGGAGAGATGAAACTGCAGAGGAAGAATGTGGCGGGGCAGCTCTTTGTGCCAAAATATCTATTGTAGTTTTGGGATTGTATAACACTGCCCGGCCCTGTGGGTAAAAGGGTTGGTTAAGAATCTTCAGTTCTTCCCTTGGAGTAAGGACTGAAGGGGAAATGGGCACACAAGAAATCATGGGGAAATCTCCCCCTCTCCCCCTCTTCCATTAATTTTTCTCTCTCTGCCCTCTCTTCCCCCTCCAGGATTCACTAAATGATAAGGAAAACTGAGAACTGGAAATGCAGCTGAGAATGCTCTTCTGGCCTCTGTTGAAGCGTCAGCGCAGACTGCTGAGTTGCAGCAATCATGCTATTGAGTATATTTGCTAACACAGATAAAGTGAAAGGAATTTTTTTTTTTAGATGTTTGCTTCATTCAGCTGACTCTGGATGTGTAGAAATATCCTTGTCTCATGTCTCTGAAATCTGGGATGCTTCTGTAGCTCCTTTCTGGGCCTACAGTCTTGAGCACTTCTGTGTCAGAGATGCAACACTAGCAAACAAAATGACTGAACAAGGTGTGCCTGAGGGACCTTCCCAAGGTTCTATCCTATCTGCCTAGTTGTGTTTTATTCTCCACATATGTAGACTGAAACTTGTGTGACTTTCTTCAAGTATACAATGGTTAAGAAATCGAAGGAGTGTTCTGTTTGCCTGGATGGATTGGACCTGCTCACAAGCACTGCTGGCACAAGGGAAAACAGTGTTGAGTATCTGGAATATGTGCATGATTCTCCTGCAAGTGAGGAGCTTCCAGGAACTGGGCTATCACTTTAATGTATGCTGGGGTGCTCTTGCCTTCCAGATGCTAAATGCCAGGGTGCTTTGCATAACTTCCTCCACAAGCAGAACTGTAACAGTTGTACATTGCCTATTATGCTGATACATAGCCTTTTTATTAGTCTGTTGCATGCAATAAGATACATTTTTTTATTTTTTTAACCTTCTGAGATGAGCTGGCACTGTTTAAAAATAGGAGGAAATCCTACATCTTACACCCATAATTATGGAACTACAAGAATCCTTAAGATGTATTACCCCATTAGATAGAAGAGAGTGAGAGGATATGAGTGTTGGCAGGAGCCCCTTCTTGTTTAAACACATGAGGCTTTCTGAAACAGGAGGGAGTTTCTGCTGGAAACAGTATCTGACTAATAAGGTGGAAGTTGAATGTGCAATAGGGAATAGTCAAGGACATGTGAAGTGAGATGTAACTTCACCTGTTTCAGCAAAAGCAGAGGTGAGCAGAACTAATGTACCATCCTTTGAAGTAAAGGAGAAGCTTTGGTCTTTGACGCATTGCTTAAAGCTTAAATAACTTGTGTATTTTTAAATGCCTAATGAGTGGGAATAATGTAAAATATCAACATTCAGCTGGAACTCGCCTGTGCAGTTTGAGCAAGTTGAAGGCCACTTCTTGGCAGCTACTGTTAAAGCCATGGAAGGATGTTGAATAGCCAGGGGTAACATAGCAGAAAACAGGCTTTGGTAGGGTTTCAAAGTGTATTTTTTAAGTGTTTTTGTTTTTTTTTTCCTGGGCTTGAGGGGTAGTTTCAGAGGAGGCAGCAGCAGAAGGCAGGAGTGTGAGAATTGTTCTGAGATGTTTACTCTAAGAAGGAGTTCTTAATATATCAGTACATTGCTTCTTCAAAGCAGTTTGTTGGGGAGCAGGTGCAAGTACCTGAATCTGGAGCTGCAGTCTGGAAGGCGAGACCCTTCCCCTCACTGGAGGCTGTTCCTGGTATTACTTCTGCTCTTTCAGATTTTGTGTGACTGTAAATTTTCCTTTTGTTTTTATTAAACGCCTTCCACTCCTTTGAACTGGAATTAAACTCTTAGTCTACCTTGGGGAAGAACTGAAACCTGACCTTCCATGCCCACATGGAGGGCCTGGGAAGGAGGGTGCTGACATCCTAAAGCAGCATTGCTTGGGCAGATGCATACTGAGGCGTGATTCATTGGCATGTGGCTCCCAGAGCCTCTACCAGGCCTGGGTGAGGGCCTGCCTCCAGCCAGCCTGCAGGCTGTGCCCCCTCAGCACTCAGTTGGGGTGGTGGCTGTGAGCATGGAAGTGCTCAGGTTCAGCCCTTTCCTCCTGTGACACCACACATGGCATGCAGCTGTGGCAGGCTGACAGCCTTTCCTTGAACACCTCTTGTTCCCTCAGCTGCACATCAGCTCTACCCTAACAAGTGTCCCCATTGTGCAATGTTCTCGTCATGCCACTGTTCTGCGGTGGGTGCCCTGGCTGAGCCTCTGTGCTGTGTCACTCAATGTTCCTGCATCATTCCAGCTGGGTCTCAGCATTCATTCTCCACTTCTATTGTGGGTTGAGATATTGCTTTCGTTCACATTGTCCTACAGACCAGCTGCTGACATTGTGTCCCTCTTTCCCTTGTGCAGGTGATCAGAGGTTGTGGGTGCCCTAACTGTCAGAGGCAAGGTTGTATATGGAGGAAGGGAAATGCAATGGGTAACCTAAAATCCCATATACTTGGCCAGTGGGCTGGGATGGGGCCAGTTAGCACTCTTGTAGGTTTTTAGAGATGGGATGCTGAAGTATAAGGGCTTTGTATTGCATTGGAGGTTGAGATGTGGGGTCTTAAATGCTTGGGAATGGTAGAATGAGTTTTATTATTGGGATAGGCAGTAAAGAAGAATATGGCAGGCATTTCCATACATACACAGTGTATTGATCTTTTTTTTTTTGACAGATTATGTAGCAATAATGAAATAATGAAGGTTCAAATCCTTTAAGATCTCTTAAAAAGTTCCTGTATCACTGCAATGACAAGAAAATTTCAAGTGTAAGAGTGTTGATTATGTACCATACAAATAAACTTTTAATTGTGATCTTGTGAAGCAGCTTACTTAACTGCAGCGTTCATGGGTTTAGGGACTGACATACTTCCAGTTGTACAGGGGTTTTTTTTGGTGCCAATTTGAGGTTTGAGATTAAATACTAAACAGAACTCAAAGCTGGAAAGGGTAATAAATATTTCATGTTGGTATTAAATGTACATGGAATGTCATGGTTGCCTTCTCAGAGGTGGAGCGGTGGGAACAGAATAGCAATGGCTTTTGAAGGGTTGGCAGCTGTCCTGAGGCCAAAAAGGGTCCATCTGTGTAAATTTTGGACGTTCTTGCTAGCTTCCAGCTAAAGCAGATGTAGGGCTGAGGCTGAAGCCCGCTATTTAAATCCTAAAAGAAGCCATCAGGACAAATCTCAGCTGTCAGGTTCTGTCATGGCTTCCCGGCGGTCAAGATTGTGATGAGGCCTTTTTTAAAATGGAACAATGTTTCCATATATATATAGATTAGCTGTAAGAAAATAATTCTTCACTATGAGGGTGGTGAGACAGCAGCACAGGTTGCCCAGAGAAGCTGTGGCTGCCCCATCCCTGCTCAATGAGAGGCTGGACAACCTAGTCTAGTGGAAGGTGCTCTTGCCCATGACAGTGTTTGGAACTGTATGACCTTAAGGTCCTTTCCAGCCCAAACTATTCTATGATTCTATATATGAGGCAAAAATTTGGTCATACAAGTCCCCACTTCAAAATACTGCATAATATGCTGATTTTTCTTGTAGAGGGTTATTATTTTGTCTACAGCTAGAACCTAGCACACCAACATGGCTTGTATTTTTTTGTTGTTTTGTTTTATTTAGTTTATTGAACTGTCTATACTGGAAGAACAGAGCTGCTCATTCTTTTGTCATTAGTAAGTAAAATGACAAAGAATTTGAAGAGCTAGCAATTTTTTACATGAGGCCACCACAAGCCATCTTCAAAATGGTTGGTGATGTTGCTGCTTGCACTTGCTGAGGCAAGGTAATCTTGGGTTGGATTTTTTCAGAGGCTATTTACATGGCTTGTGGCAGAGCAAGAACATTTTCTATCCTTGGTTTATGCAATGTAGAGCTCGTGTTTTCCCCTGCTCCAGCATGGATCTTCTCCATAGGCTGCCCTGCAGTCCTTCAGGAAAACATCTGCTAAACTGTGGTGTCTCCAGGAGAGTGTGCTCAGGCAGCCAGAGCTCCTTCTCTTCCTTCTCCAACCTAGGTGCCCACAGGGCTCATTTCTCACACATTATTCCTTATGCAGTTTCCCCCTTCTCAAACCTGCTACCACTAGTGCTGGTGAGGGCTCAGCCATGCCCTGCAGTGAGGCTGCTGTGGAACCTGTCAGAACTGGCTATGTTGGGCACAGGGCAGCCATGCTCTCTCCTCACAGACTCCCACCAACGCCTGGGCACGGACACCCAATACACCAAGTGTTGAGTGTGTTGGCTTCCTCCAAAATTGCTTCTCTAGCTTCTCCACCCTCTCCTGTAGATGCTTGTGACATTGGCACGGTTGGGTGTCCTGGGACACAAAGGTAAGGCTGGAGGTGTTGCAGTAGGTAAAAAGGCAAATGGCCACTGGGGAGGAGCATCAGCTGGGTGCATGGCAGTGCAGCGAATGGCTGGGGTTCCATTACTGCGCTCCAATGAATATGAGGAAATGAATGTTGTCTTTCCACTTCCACCAGCTGAAGAGAAAATATTTAAACATGGCTGTTTGCTTTAGCTGCAGCTATAATTAAGTGAATTAAACTGAGGGTTTGATTCATAATTGGCATTTGTTACCACAAAGTACAGCCATTCTCTTTTCAAATGCATTAAGCCACAAGAAACTGCTTTATACCAGCTAAAGCTTCATAATACATTTGTGTGTGATTGGAAGCATAATTCGCATGCAGAGTGTTATTAAAGCCTTACCAGTTTCTAGTTTAAATCTTTCTACATTGATTTAACTGCTTTCTTATTCTTTATGTGACATTTTCATCATAATTAAACGCGAATGTGCCCTTACAGTCTGTCCCTGGAATTCCTGTGGTGTGCAGGAAAGGCACCAATAGTCCTCTTGGTCTTCAATGCTGTAATGAGATTGTGCTCGTGAATTAGATCTTCCTAGCCAGAATTGCTCTGTATAGATCAAACAGATGTTATTGTTAACTAATGGAAATGTGGTATATTGTAGGCTATGCTATGAATGTTAATAATGTCATTTTTTTCACAGGTATTAAAAGTTTCTCATCTTGTACTATGCCTCTCTGACATGCAGTTGTCTTCTGTTGCTAAATCTAAACAGTTCTATTGTTAGCATAGGAAAAGACCTGGATTACTAGAGATTGCATTTAGATGTGTAAAATCTCTATCTTGCTATTTCCTATATGATTATTTTATGCTTGTTTCTATTAAAGATTATAAGAATGTTGGATGAAATTTTTTAGCTAAGCTACTGACTAGTATATAATTAATGAAATCTGGTTATACAGGTAAACCAAGTTGATAACAAGTCTAAGAGTAAACTTCACTTGCACTACCTGATTTTGTTTTTTAATGTTAGGTGTTGACATAGAGGGGCTGTCAGATGTGACACAGAATCTGAGATGCCTTCTTGGATGGCAGCTGGAGGCTAGGTAGGCACCAAGAGCATCATAAATGGCACCACATGCCTATGTATGGGCAACTGAATGTTCCTATAATGTTCCAAATTTAACCACAACACATGTTTTTACCAGTATGTTTATTACAGTATTTTTGTAAGAAGGTAGAGCTGTGACAAAGATGCCTCTGACAGAATTTTGGTTAAGGTTTTATTTTTATTTTTTTAACCATATAAAGTTTAGCATTTTGGATTTTATTTATTCACTTTTTTTTTTTAAATACATGTGTGTGTTTTTATCTACAGTTAGGTAAATATGTAAATGAATCACACATTCTACCTTTTCTTCCTAAGTCACTAGGTAATATTAGTTTTCTGTACGTACATATATTCATGCATATTTCTTCCTTCCCCGCATTGTAGGGGAAGTTGGGTGTTGGGATTTAGTCCAGGTCTTCAAAGGTTCTGGACCCTGCTTTGCTTATTGAAAGATCTGTGATTCCCTATCATGAAATACCAGCTTAGAGAGAATGTAATGTATTTTGCAGATGATGCCAGACATTAAAGTAAAAACATAAATAAAGCTTCTTAAAATTATTCCAGTAACTAATAATTCATAAAAGCAAGGCAGCACATATCTTTCTGATATCTCCAGATGAAGGCTTGACAGATTTATTTAATATAATAAATAAAATATGAAAAACATTTATGTGGATTAATTTAAGAATAACTTTGTTAAGAAAAATAGTTTTTAAAATTTGTAATTTATCTTGGACATAGTCTTTGTCTTAAAGTTGTTCTGTGAAAACATTACAGGTAAGCTACATTCATGTTTGTGTTGGATTAGTGGGACGTATTGTAATAAAATATTTGACCATTGTAACACCAGGTACTTTCAACCTGTAATAAAAAGTAAATTTTTTAAAACATGTCTTTAATCTTGAGCAATGAGCTAGTATTTAATTGCTAGATTTCAATGCATAATGCAGTAGGCAGAAGGAGGTTATCAGCATGAATTTAGTAATAAAAGAGGAAGTTTTGAAGTAGTTTGGTTTTTTTACGTCTTCTCTCCAGATGA